ATACTTTGAACAAGAGCAACAAATAAGATGGTTTGGCCATCTGATGAGAGTATTCTGGTACCACCTGCCACAGACAGTCACTGTGAAGAATAGAGCAAGTTTAGAATCAAGTGAATGATGGAACAACAGCATCAAGAGCTGCTGTAAAGAGACGAGGATCAACTTATGCAACACATCAGAAATAGCACACAGAAGATCTTCACATCTCCCTCCCAAAAATTCAATGAGGTCATTGAAAGGAAAAGAAGAAGATCAAAATAACAACTTACTAGAAATTTATGAAAAACCAAAACAAAACAACTTTCAGTGTTGAGGGAGATATACAGTTTTGAATCTTGTTCTTTCTAGCCACCTTGTCCATAGACACATTGTGCTGTTATAGAGTTTCTCTGATGTTATCTTTCCATCTTGTTCTTGGTCTACCTTGTGCTTCTCTCTCTATCTTTGTTTGTGTGTGTGTGCTTGCGTGAACTGATGTGTGTATGCCTGTCTGATATGGCATCACAAGGCATTCTCTCTAAGTGTGCAAACCATATGATTTACTTTCTGTGTATGTAATTTATAACTGGTTCTGTGTGAGTTTGTTTAATTATGACCTTATTACTAATTTCATCTCGTCTGGTCACTCCTGCAGTCCTTCTCAGATAACAAACACACACACAAAGTTAAACTGAAAGATGGGAAAACTCACCAGATCAAAGTGGTTTCCGACAGGTTGTGTGTGGACTGAACGGTGCTGGATCTGCTGGCTGGCATCTCTGATGACAACAATGGTCTTATTACCCTCACCCTGTTCCTGGTTTGCACACAGCACCCACACCTGGTCCAGGTGTCTTACATACCACAGTTTCTCTGGCCGATTGTCGGTGTCTATTACCTACAGCGAGTAGATACAGTATGTGTTCAGAGACATTTTTGTCAAATCTTTATATACAGTAATGAATGTAAGATTTTAAAGCGGGTACTTACTTACTTTTCTCGCTGTTTTCTCTGTAGCGATAATAAACTCCATTGCCAGCATGATAGGCCTATGCAACACCACTAGAGCACCGCTGCAGATATTGAACAGGACATACACAAAAAGAGGAGAAGGACGTTGAGCACAAGATAGGCCAAGAACAAGATGGATAGATAACATCAGAGAAACTATACACCAGCATGATGTGTCTATGGTTGGGGCAGCCAGAAGAGGAAGAAGAAGAACCGTATATTTCCCCCAACACCCAAAGTAGTAAAAGAAGAAGCAAAGAAGAAGAGGAATACTCTTTAAAAGTGACAGAAATGTTATCACCATGACCAGCCCACACTGCTGGATACTCACAGGCTGTGGATGCCCACATTCAAACCTTTTGTATAAATAATCAATCAAATACCTTTCTTAAATGTTTGTGTATTCTAGACAAAGCAATAAGGTCTACTGTGTTCGTAAATTGTTGCTGTAATTGTTATTCGACATTTGCTTCCTTAATATAAATGTCTGTAACCTATGGTGCCATTTCAATCGGTTGAAATGAATTCTGTCCGTATTCTATAG